ACCTCAATTTTAAAAAAATTATAAAAATTTATAACAAAATATATATAGAATTATAAATATGTTTCAAATTTTAAATCAGATAGTATAATAATAATTATAATCATATAATTATATAATTATTCTTCTTGAGATTATACTACAAAAACTATTATTGTACAAAAAATCTATACATTATTTTATTAGAAATATGATTTTGTTTCTCCCATATTATTAATTGTGCGAGAAAAGGACAGAAAAACTATTTTCCTTAATTAAAAAAAAATAAAATTTTCGATGTCTAGGGTATGCAATTACATTGTTTGTGAAGTAATGAGATAAAGAACGGTTACGTAAAGATGAATTTAATATTGATTCGAGATAACATTGTTCTATTTCACATGAATATTTTTGGATTTTTATGGAATGTTTGCGATACGTAACAAATAGGATTCATGCATGCGTTCAATTGCGTCTCCAATAATAATTGTCATGAAATTTAAACGCGATATACACAAATAAATAGGAAAAATAATTGTGAGTTGTAAGAGAAATTCGCGCGATAAGAAGGAGCGAAGGGGAGAAGATACGCACCGAAATGAAATATCTCGAGGGGGAAATTAAAATGCCAGGTTGCCATGAAGACACGAGTACTTCCGCTTACTTATTTATTCCATTATAGAAGTCAGTATTTCAGCGTGCAGATGAGAGGCGGCATCAGTGCGCTGTTCTTGCGCGCTATTGCGCTCGCGTTGCGCAAATTTGCGGCAGACTCGACACCCGCGTCTCCGGTTTATGAAAACGAATGAAAATTACATCGCTAGATAAAGCACGGATTTTGAATAATGAAGTTGTATTCTGGAAAGTTCTGGAAAGCATAAAACACGAACGAAGAGAAAACGTACGCGAAAATAATGAAATATTATTTTTAGATATATTACATACGCACGTTGATTCGTGTGCGCATTAGAGATATTAATTTGTATTATCGCTCGTAATTTGTGTCAGACGCATTGAAAGAAAGCTGTTTAAACCAAATGAGATAAATGTTCGGATTAATTTTATATTTAATGTAATCATTCGTATTTAATTGACGTGTAACAGGACGGACGATCAAGAGAAAATTTTAGCAGACTGTCGGAATTACTGTCTGTGATACGATTAACCCATCAATTATTCGATTACACGCTATCACAGTCATCGCGCATATATTCTAGAAAATTTGATTCTAATTTGCAACGTGTTCTATATACGCTACTATTTAATTTACGTAAAACTCCTGTCTCTATTGATAAGCGTGGGTATTAAATTTATGGCGTTTATTCTAAAGTACTGCAAATAATTTGTCGCGTAAAAATATCTAATTAATTTTTCGAGATTTGTTTATAAAGTATATTAACAAAATATATCACTGAAATGTTAATTGTATTTTATTAAATTTTCACGAGAGGTAAATTTAAAAAAGCAGTTTCAATTTCCTTTTTTTTTAAATATAACTTTACAGTGATTAAGTCAGACACAATGAATTCATTAAAATAGTGCATCAAAACGCGCAGCAGCCATTAGTGGTTTAAAGCGGAAATACTGAGAGTTATGTACACATTCATTAGTTTGCGGTATAAAAGCTTAATGAAGGGCGTGCTGATCAAAGATTTTATGACAGAAAAAAAATTAAAACAAATATTTTTTATGGAAAAAAATAAATTTTATTTTGTAGAAAAACTACGTTTTTTCCTCAATTTTTCTACAGATGTATCTGTAACCACTATATTTTAATTTTATCTAATTCTGAGTTACAGAATATACCTACATCATATTTATGTGATTTAATTTAATAATACACTTTTATTTTAAAATCATAATTATAGAATTAAATTATTTATTAAATAAAAGTATGGCGGTTGAAATAACATAATATTCATCTATATTCATTTAACAATTAAGTTTACAATTTCCACAATTAAAAATCACTAACGACGAATGTTATGCAATCATTGTACAAATAACGCCGTTCTCTATGATTTCCTATCTTCACAAAACGCGCGTGATTGTCATCTCTGTCAATTATTGGAAACTTTCTCATTGCTAAAAGCAAACGATTATATTGTGGTGGTGCAATATAAATTATTACCTTCGTTATTCGCAACGTCGCCGCATCGTCCGCAATTTTCGAATCGCGAAGCGACCCAGTTTTTCAATTTATCTTAATTTATTTGACTTCAAGACAATCGGAAAGTTTTATTGGTATTATCGGCGCTTCTCATTGATTTCCAAAGCTGTATATATATATATATATATATATATATGTACACACACACACACACACACCCATACTTACATATATATCCATATATAAAAGTGTTATTATTATACGGAATGCTAAAAATGTGAACTACGTGTTAACATTAAATCCTATCCATTCTCAATTCCTCTTGCACAATTAAAGTTTCAACATAATCCATGCTAATATGTTATTTAATACAATTTAAATGATTGGACTTTTTTGTGAAACTTTCGTAACATACATGAAATTCCTCTCTCCAAATAATTGTATGTATAGATGTAGACTTTAGGAAGTATTATATTCACTAAATATATATATATATATATATATATATATACATGAAAAGTTGTCGCAATTTCGTAAATCTTTTTCGCACATCAGGAATTCCTTTCTTCAAATAAATAAACCTATAATATTGGAAGAAGTTATACATATCTATTATTTTAGATATATATTATATATATAATATTATTAAGAAGTTCTTAATAATTCTTTTGTTTTTAGAAAAAGTGTAATATTATGACCTTAGATCACATGACTAAAACAGTTTACAGACTATTAAAAATAAATAAATTCTTTAACATAAAAAAACTGAATACAAATCTTAAAAAAGGACATCCTCATCTCAAAAATATTTTCAAATCATACATGAAAAAAAATTTAAAGATCTGAAACTTCTACACTAGAATTTAATAAACGAATGCGGAGAAATAGTTCACATATATCAAATGTAAAAATCGTTATCAAAATTAATTCATAAACCGATTAAATATCGAATGGATTTTTGTCAAAAATAGTGTCGTCTTTGTCTTGATGTAGTCTCGACAATATCAATGTAATTTATTACCTATCGGTTACTGTATGACGGATCACTGACCGCAACCGTAACTACGAATTACAAAGCTATCGCAACAATTAACCCAACGAGACGTCAAGGGTTAGAGTAGTTTCACTCTATGAGCCTGTTAGTAAGGCACTTCAGCACGCATTCAATTCAGTTCATTGTCAGATCAACAGTACATCTGATATCAATCTGATATCAACATAGTTATATAGTATGTCTGAGATTTCTATTTGATCGTATAATATACCATCTTGTGTTTATTAGATCACAAATGAAAATTTTTATTTGCGTATCCTTCCATGATAGATTTTTAATTTGCAGCGAATAAATTCACGATATGTTACCTACGTTACAGAATAGATTTGATGAGAGGCTTACAACTTCTAATCGGATAGCATAATGCATTTCGAGGAAAAGAATGAAGTAAAAGAAATGTATAATCAGATTAATTTATAAAATTATTTTAAAAATATCATTTAAGAATTCTAGATCTAAAGATCTACAACACAGTTTTATGTAAAAATATATCTAAATAAAAATATATTTATGAAAATAATTATAAAATATTTTATATACGTGTCAGTCATAAATTGTTGATGTAATCTTACATAAAATTAATATCAACCAAGTTTGGTGAGTTGGGAAGACTGTAATAGCAACAGTTGCAAAAATAAACTAACAATAAGAGATTGTTTCAGGTCAGTGAAATCGAAACGTATCATAGTTTTCGTATCGCGATGGCACCGATATCTTATGACGGTTGAAGGTAACGTCGCATTGGCACTATTGGCAGCGTTACAAAGTCTCAGTGAAGGTACAAAATTCTTGATCGCGATGAACCAAGAATGCGGTATCCCGAAGAAATCCACTCTCTTTGCATCGCGATATTATGCGAGTGAAAATATATTGTTAAAGGTCGATCGTGATTATACGTTTTGTTAATCCACGCCAACTCGATGATGAACGACTTATCGGCAGTTTCGCATAAGATGGAATTATGGAAGACGAACCTGCGTTCTACTTCATATCTGCAACGATCACGCAACACTACCGTGACTAAAGATTTAAAGTCATAACTTTCCCGCTCTCTCTGATGGCAAAAGCGTTATTTACATGAAACTAGTTTGAATCAGACTTTTAATGAAAACGATTAAACAATAATAAAATGACTCGAACAGAGAAATATCCAATAAAACTGAAAACTAATTGTAATACCATACGATTAGAAAAATTATGAATTAAAAATTCTTATGACAACTTCAGTTAAAATATACCTATATCAGTTTCACATCCATCTTTCATTTGAAGTATGATATTATCTTCTATGATGGTTTCTTATGATAATATATATAATGACTTCATGCAATGGTTTCATATAATAGCATGATTTCAGATAACATCAAAGTTTCTGCTTGTTATATCCTATAAATAGAAGCATAATATTTGATCCATTCACGATCAGATACACATCTTGAGTCAAAGAAATGTAAACAAATTACTCAATCTGCCTCTTACGCCAACCATCAGTTTCATCTAATCATTAACAATGTAGTGCATTTTTCTCATGGGAAGAAAGACAACTTCGATCGCTACCGTGACATATATGCGGCCATTCGGGCCAAGCCTCCGCGAAATCATTCACGGAGACCTCTCACTCTCCCCACGTGCTCGCCAGAGTACGAGCCTTCGCGGCGGGGAGACAAGAGAAAATCATGAAAAGTAGTGAGTGTGAGCGAGTGAGAGTGAGTTCGACCACCGTGCATGTGAAAAGAAGAGAATGAGAAGACCATTCTCTTCTCTCTTTCTCTTCTTTCTTTCTCTGGTTTCAGCTTGCGAGAGACTTGGCGAATGTCCTGGTAACGAGAGAAGTCGCCAGTGTCTCGGTAGACCTCCATCTGGTACAGCGGTCTGAGTTTCTACGGATACCGTCCGTTTATCCGTCTGTCCATTCCAGTTGCTCGCGTGCCACCTGGCAAATCGTGGTGCCAGATTCTTCGTGTCTCATTATTTTTCTTTTTTCTCCCTTCGTCTTAGAACGGACGTAACTAGCTCGATACTCGTGAGAACGCGAGCGTGTGAACCGGAATAAATAGTATCGAGTACGTAGACGTTTTTTTGTGGCACGTTCGAGATCAGTCTTGGCGCGTGCCGATTTCAGCAAGACCGCCAACGAGAATTTCCGAGTTTTTAGTGCGACCAACTCATATCGGCTCCTTCATTCGCGCCGCGGGAAGTCGCGTGCCGGCTTTGATACTTGTTCCGTACGTCTGATCGATATTACGTGAAGTGAAATTAATGACAACTGCTTCAGATTACTCTCGGTAATAGAGTTGGAAATAACGTTATAACAATGCATTCTTCATTATAGTCAAATCGATAAAAAATCGTAAACATATAGATAATTAAACAGTAAAAATTGTCTGAAACTCTTAATGAATTTATTTATTATTTTATGTACTTCTCATATTTATTCTCTGCAATGGGAGTTTTTTTTTGGAAGCGTAAAGTTAATTAAATTAATTTAAACACCAATAACTTTTTAATTAAAAAAATAATGAAAAAGTAAAAATAAAATTTACTAATTTATTTCAAATAAACTGTATCGGATTTAATTTTATACAATTTATTTTAAATAAATTTTATGCGTAACAAATCAAATTTCGAGATACAATAAACTGTTTGTTGTGAACGTTACTAACATTAAACATTACAAAAAGAATTACAGGAAAAATTTTACTTAATTTTTTATTACATATTAATTAAACAATATTTGCTATATGGGCACAAAATTTAGAACATCTTTACGATTTGCGCTTTAGTAATCCTAGCTGTTATACATTTTATACTGTGATATAAATATCAGTAGAATCTATAATGTACTATTTTCAATGAACATATATGTACAATATCGTAAACATCGAAAAAGTTTGTTGCTACAATAAGAAAAAAAATTCATTCTCTAATAAATACTCTCTCGGCGGTGAATATTGCGGTTAAGTAAAAAGTAAGTGTAAATGTGAATGTAAGGTACACAAAATGCCGCGCCGATGCATCGCGTGATCGCGCAATTTAATTCGATGACCGATTGTATTAGGTTTGTCTGGGTTATGCTGCCGCATCGTTGATCTAATCGGGAGGAAATAATTTGTTTGGCCGCACCCGGGGGTCATACATAGGATCTGATTGGCTGTAGATGATCGATCGGTGTATATTGAATTGTGTTACCGTATGTAAACCGTGAATTAGAGACTATCTATGTATATGTTATCATTGTCGTTGAGCGATAGAGTGGGAACATTACAAAGAAACTTTTTTTGATAGCTTATTCGATAAAATATCAATTTACAAAGATGTAAAATAGAATAATCTCTCTTTTAGAAATTAAATTAAATTACAAACTCATAAAATAAATGAGTACGCAAAAATTTCGTGGAAATTCAAGATCAATGCAATGAATTATTTTATCATTTTGATATGATGTAATTAGAGAATAATCCATTATCGCTTCAAAATTTGAATAGTTGTATGTAGTCCATCATTGTTAGATACTAAATAATTGTACAATATACTTGAATGAATAATTTATACGTATGATACCTATATTATAATACCTATATTTCATTTGTTATAATATTAAATGAACGTGTGATTACATTTTATGAAATCACTATTTGTGCGTTTTCTTGATGACCTGATAAAATTTTGAATATCAGATATTGTTTTAAAGACAATCTTTTGTTTCTTTAAGATTGGAGATCTGTTTTTTATTCTTGTACTAGACTGCACTCCATAGGATAGAACTCTTTTTTTTTTAATATTTAGCTTTTACCAAATTCGGGATTAAATTTCTGAGTATATAAAATATATTAATATAATTTTTATTTATTTTTTAATGAATCTTAGTATTTAGACAGCTTATATATGTAAAAGAAATTAGAGACCAATGACATATTTAGGCAACTTGAAAAATACATATTTTGTGATAGTTATTAAAATTTCATAGTTTTATAGTATTTATGCTTTTTTTAATTCCGAATTTTTAAAAATTAGATAATATAATTAAAACATGAGCTTCACTATTCTGTTCCGTCGTATCAAACACATTATATTATTAATAATATATGATAATAATTATTATTATTGTAATCGCGTGAATTTGGAGCACAACATTGCGATGCAGTTTCATATAGAATTTGTTTTACGTAAATAAGGCCAACGAATCTAACGAGAGGTTTTTGACCGATAAATTGACTGTTTCATAACAAGCGTACTTGAAGCTGTTGCTATTGCATTCCGTTTCTAATTTGCGTTCCACTACCAGTTCTAACGTTCACCTTTAAGAACGTCAATCGCATAATATAAAATGTTCATCAAATGGTAGTGTCGCAAAAGTTCCAGGTTAAGTACGATATTTACTATTTACCTAACATTTAAATAGTATTTAATTTGTGATTTGCGTTTTAAATTTGCATTTTTAAAGGCAGGAATAAATTATTCTATTACCATAAAAGAACTATTAAATTTTATTATATGCATTTCTTTCAATTATTTAAATTACAATTATTCAAATTATTTAAACTGCTTTTCAGAACTTCTTTAATTTTGTAGTTATAAATCGTATAAATTGCCAGTATTTCATAAAAAAATAAATCATCATGTCAATTTTATAATTTTTAGCGTTTTAAATAAATTTGTGACTTTTTAATTCTGTTAAATTTTAATTGTCTCTATTTTAATGAAGGTAGCTATTTATTTCAATCAGCTACTAAAAAAATTATACATGTATATGCAAGGTTTGAAAATTCAACCGCCTACTTTGCGCTTCTGTATGAAACATGAATCAAACATTTCTATTAGCATATTACAGTCACTCGATATAACATATGCAACGATTCAACACGGCGCCTAGCAATAATATTAGCGTAAACCTAGTGCTGTACACAAGTTGAATTTTTTTTAATAATCGAGAAAAATCAAATAAGGAAATATTTCTTTCCTGTTGTAAAGCGTTTTATTTAGGAACACAGTATTATAAAATTAGAAAGCAGCCTAAAGTAATTACGTGTTTTAAAGCGACTAGCTCTCGCTAATATTTTTCAAATTCGTGTCAAGAATCTGTCTGTGCTCTTGTAACATGCATTAAATGTCACAAACCTTCCTCTTTTTGAAGCAGTTGTAATTTCACTTCCACATGCGTAATCCACTTTCACGAAACCGGTATTGTGGTGTGGCGACACTCGATCTATCGGGATCTCGGCAAGCCGCCCGGTCGGTCGAAATTATAATGCGAATCTGCCAATAAAGTTGGCCACGAATACCTAAAACCGGTTGTTATATGGGATTATATTCTCTTTGTCGGACTCTCAGGGTTCATAGTGCGCTAGTGGACGTGCTGTAGGTGCAAAACAGTCTCATGTGTTACATGGTGTGCTGAGCTAAAAACGAAGACTGCGGAAAAAAAAGAAGTGAGGGACCCCCGGTGGAATTTCTTTAGCCAACTTTGCGAAACGGTGAGTCAAGTAGCGAGATAAAGTTTAATGGATCTTCGGGGTCGAACTTTTGATGTACGGACGAACGAGAGAACGCATTCAAGCAGTACGTGAGCTTCATCGTAACTTTGAACAGTGCTCGCGTTAAAACGCTTCTGCGCTTGATCATTTCTTATGTCTATCTGTCGTGCCTGCGAGGAAAATGTGCTGGTTTGCGACGTTGTTTCACTTTATCTCAAGCAAAGTTGAACGAGATTAATGTTACTTAAACGACATAAGACACTTTTAGTTTAAAAACGACTCGACTTTTAGTTTAAAAATAATAAATTACAAGTTGCAAAATATGTAATGTAATTGATTGGAATAAATAGAAATTATAAACTTTTTCAAATTTAATAATTTTTTAATTAAATTAAATTTTTTATATTGCAATTTTATTAACTTTTAACCGTTTCTTGAGGTGTGGCATACGTGGCTTTTCCTTTTCCAATGTTTTTTCAATACTTTTCTTATTACTCTCTTATAACATTTTTATTAATAAAAATACATATATTGACTTGATATCGTACTGTTCCTTAATGTCTAACGTTTCAATTAAAAAAAAGAGAAAAGAATCATATAAAATTAAGTTAAACTTACTGTAAATTATTATAAAATTTTTAAGATATTTGTTTTTTAATTGAATTTATAATATAAAATTCCTCGATTAGAAAATTATAATATTGTTCTACTATCCACAGTATTGTTATCTCACTGAATCGAGCATCCCGGTCGCTATTTGGACAATCGAATTTGCTGGATACCGATACCACGATATATCGATCGGCCAACAAACGAATTTACCGAACATTTGCCTGCTAATTCACCTATGCATGCCACATAATCCGGTTACGTCGCTGGCACCGCAGGAATGCGCGTATACTCAGCTGTGTAGCTAATATGTAGTACTATGTGATGTCGGTTTTCGCATAAATGTCTTCATAAGAAAATGCATATGAACGTTAAATTGAATTAAAAAGAAGCACGAAAATAAATGCACTTATCAATTGATAATTAATTATAAATAAATATATATCTATAGTAATTGAGTATCATACAGAATAATACAATTAAATTTTTTCAAAAATGCAATAATTGGTTTCTTTGGCTATATTGTTATGCATTAAAGCATTTATTGAAGTTTTATATATTGTGAATTCTGACATTTTTTATTCTTCAACTATTAATTTTAAATTCTAAACCATTTTTTAATAGTAATTTTTAAAAGTATTAAAAAATTTAATTGCTGAAAAAATGAGTAACATAAAAAAAAAATGCATATAAATTTAGGAACAATATCCTTATATACTGAAAACTTAATTTATTTTATTTAGCTATTTTTTAATATATACATTTTCAATTTTCGTTTGTTATCGAATTTTTGTTTAATCGTAAGAGTTCGATGCTGTCAAATATCAATTAATTATTTAGAACATTAATTAGCTATTTAGCCTTTATTTTATTAATATATTCTTGAAATTCTTTACGTCTAATTGAGTCTTCTAATCATATTTACTTATAATTGAATTTAATGGTGCAACTGTATTTTATAGTATTATGTATATAGCACAGCCGCGCAATCCTATTGATCTGTGGTTACAGGAAATACGATTGTCACGCCCCACGTGTCTCTTCATACAACAGTATAACCCTTTGACACATAAACCCTATTCAGTACAACCTCAGTCACACAGTGCTTACAGTTTCAGCAGCCCGTGTGCGTGATCTCAGTTTCAGTCCTTAGTTTACAATCAGACTAGATCAATCATTTTCAGTTAGAGTAAATGTATTCGCAACCCTCAAACATATTTTCTTAATGCAATCTCATTTGATCAGTTATAATACTACAATTTTACAAATAATTCTCTTGTTTTAATATTTTCAGAATTTAGTTCTTGATTGATTAAATTTTTGAATATTATTTTCAAATTTTCTGAAGAGATTGTAAACTCTTATCATTCTATTTTCGAGCATTATGCCTTTAAATTTTTAACTGTTTGTTTCTAATATCTTCATTATTTGAATCATAAAACTTAGGTATCAAAAAATACTTATCGGAAAAAAATTTTCTTTCGTAATATTAATACCGTATTATTAATTTTTTTACAATATATTAGAAAAAAACTTGAATTATTCTTTTTACGATTAGGATGACAACAAAAATTAAAAATAGAGAAATATAAGATTAAATCCATTTATTTATTAAATCGTGCTGAACAAATTTCATATCGAGTTGCTCAGTCGATATTTGGTTTTCTGGAATTTCGAATTGCTTCATACGTGTGTTGCAATTGAATTGGCCGATTTGTCGGCGGATCTCGCTGAACGTTTGCCCACCAATTTGCTTAGACACAACGTGCGTGAATCTACGGCAATCTCGTTAGCGTTATTGGGTACACAGTAACGCGCGAATGCGTCGCGATTACAGCGATGAGCAAATTGTCCGGTGTATCGTCCGGAAACGGACGCTTTGCAGCGTCGTCGTCTTAATGAACGATCGTTCTTCCGCCTCGACGAACTCTTCACGCGACTGGAAATTAAACTGAGTCTTCCTTGAACTCTGAGTCTCTACGCGGCATGCATCGTTTATTTATAATAACAGTGGAAGGTATTTATGATAACTGGGTTTCATTTCAAGCAATTATAGCTGTAGTATGTATGTACACTAGTTTAATAACTTTAATATTTATTAATTATGTCTTTTATTATGCACTCGTATATTCCTTCTTTTATTTCTACACTGAGAAAAATGTCCGTTCAAAAAGTAGCAAACAGATATTTCTGATTGATTTTGATCGGATTTATAAGACTATCCGATCAAATTTATCGGATTTATAGGACTATCTGATAAATTTGATCGGATAGTCCTAAAATTTGATCGGATCGTCTTATAAATCCGACCAAAATCAATCGGAAATATGTGTTTGTTACTTTTTGAACGGATAAAGCCCGGAAATTTTTCTCAGTGTATTATTAAATATACATAAAAATTTATTCAAGTTAAAGATGTAGTAGAATTATTCCTCCATATTCTATGCAAAGAATATAGATCAATAGAAATAGATAGCATAATCTAAGAGTTAGTTTTAAATAGGCTTCTCGTAAATATATAATTAAAAATAAAAATAATATTAATGAAAGTATTATTGAAGCATAGAGATACAAAAAATTTTCAAGTAAGTGAAAAATATAGGTACTTCAAATCGACTTGTAACATTATTTAAATTAATATTATAATGTTTGTTAAAAGAATCTATATCTATCTGACCTGATCGAGTTTAAAGTATTCCAAAAACTATTTAGTGCTTAATATTTTTTAGTACTAACTATGTATTTAGTACTTAATATTTATCGTTATAATTTAGCACAACGAGAATATTTTTTAAACTTGATTGTGCCACTTACTCGATACGCGAGTTTGCTGATTCATCAACATATACAAAATGTGCCAAATTGTTGGATCGTGTTTTCAACTCTAAATTGTCTAAAGGATCTGTTAGTGAAATTAAAGGGTCGGAGGGAATGGGATTTGAAATAACCTCTATATATATATTGATTTTAACAAAACCGTTTTATTTCGCGTGCCAAACGGCCGATCGCGATCGAGCTGTCCGCTGTCATACTTCGTCAAGCTGGATTTCCGCGAATTGTAAAATATCATCGAACGCCGTGGGAGTAATTCGAAATCCGTTTTATCAATTAATATCGATGGACGGCCGTATCACAACGGTTTCGTAGGTATTTCGCGGAATATCGAGCCCGCAAAGCCCGCCGGTATAATTGCCGCAGTGGTATCGTTTGTCAGTAACCTGTCATTACTTTGGCTTCTCTTTTTCTCTCCATATTGTTTGCGGCTAACTTTGATTATGCTATTTTCTCGACACTATTCCTCTCTCTTTCTCTTCCGTCCTCATCGAGATTAAATCGCGTCAATGATTATTGTTTTCTACTGTGGTATTACTGGTAATACAAAGATAAAGTATTACTGGTAATATAAAGATAAAGTTAATCAACTATAAGCAACTTAAATAAACTTTCTATAAAAAGAGAAGTGATATCAACTCTGTCCTCGTAAAATATCTCTTCCCATTTTGTATAGTGTAATTCCTGGTTTATCCGCAGATATTGCACATATAAATTCAAGAAATTATTAGATTTTTAAGAAACAAAAAATTAAAATTACATATCGATTTCATTTTGTATATCATAAATGACGTTTATAGATAAAATATATTGAAGGCCATTTGTGTAATAAAGAAGCAGTTTAAATTAGTTATTGATGGACAAAAATTATTGAATTAATTATATTTTATTCCGTTTAATTTATAAAAATACCTTTCTCGAGATTTAATCCCCTTCACAGCGAAGAAAGATTTATTTCTGTTCAAACATTTAATTTTATTATACATGCGTAACGGAGAAATTTCGTCTTGTGCTAAAGATAACCCATTTCCATTTGCATCGCGATACGTCGACATACATACAAATAATTTCATTTACAACGGAACGTCTTATCGTTGGTAGTATCGTCGTCGGAAGTTTCGACACGCAGCACGAATTTCGCACTCGTGCGGTAAGAGAGGAGAAACGGAACTGCTAGTGGAGGAAGCGTCGTGCCTGTTTGTTGAGCGTGTAACGAGAACCGTGGTAATTGCTTCGCAATCGAGGCGGTAACTGGTGCAATATCTGCATGCATTGCGCCCCGTGGACGAGACTTAATTGCGCCTGCGTCAAGAACACGTATCTACCGATGCTTTCTAATGCTCTATGATGACGCGAGACACGCGAATGTGCCGCTCTTTTGTTGCAGAGATCGCTGCGTTGAAATTGTCACGCTCTCGACGTTAAGCTATCCGCGATCTCGCAGCGTTCTATCATCGTTCGTGAGTGACGGCGAACGTTTCATAAACGAAGCAAAGTTTAAATTAACGCAAGATCACTTTGGAAAGATAAGACCCGTATATCAGCGTTATCATTTTGCT